CCCCCGACAGCCTACCCTTCACCTGTCCGTGGCTCTACCTTTGACCCTGTCACTCCCCGCCCTGTCGTGGGGCCTGTTCATAGTAGCCCTGTCCGCCCCTGCCGTAGACCCTGCCGGCAGGGCCTGTGATATTTGCCAAGAGACCTGTCAGAACTGAGGAGTGGCATGGACCTGGAGATCCAGGTCGGTACAGGAAGCGGCCTGGCAATTGTGAGCCGCGCCGACATTTTTTTCCTAAACTCGGCACGTGCAAGTGAAGCAGCAGCTGTGGCGAAATGAATTCGATCCCCCAAAACGGGCTTTGTTTTCCGCAATGGGCTGGCCAGGCTATGCAATGGACCTCATACCGGTGAAGCCATTTCTGGAGCCCCAGTTCAAAGGCCATCGCGAGGGAAATCCTTGAGATGGGACTTGCGGGCGAATATGTCATAACATGCAAGTGTAAGTGACCAATGACAGGACTGCAACGACATGCCAGCAGCTCACGTGGCACCACCCATCACACATGTGAGCAGGATGCAAGGGGTCGACTCAAGTTGTGTGTGAGGCTGCATGTGTCACATAGGTGGCTTGATAGTGAGGTGGGACATATGTGCAGACACCTTTCATAAGTCCTACAAGATGCAAACGACGAATATGTCCGATGTTCAAGTCTCCGAAATAGATGCGAGCATTGGAGACTCTCTTGAGTTATCTTCAGATTGAACCTCTTCTGGCATGCTACAGCACAGTGAGCCTGCTTGTGCCGCTTACATTTCTGACAGATGAAATTTCCTTCAAGTATTATGATGTACAGGCATCATGGTGCAGAAGATTGTCCAGAAGTTGGACACGCTACTTGGCGTAGTTGGATCTGAAGTTCACGGTTCTATGATGTAGAGCCGTGATGATTAGCATGGCCGAGTGTTGACCAAGTCGTGGCCACTGCCATGGACCAGCAGTTCACATTGCCGAGCCCGGGCAGTTGCTGTGCGTCGTGCCCTCGGTGTCGGGAAGCATCATGTCGTGCGTGTCCGAGACATGCCACAACACAGAGCAATGATTGAATAGTGATTGAATATATGTAATGTTTCCAGAAAAGACGTGTTTTGAGGTCACCATCCAGATAACCTCCCCGGATGATCTGGATGAGGTTGAGGCCAGGCCATGTGCAAGCTCTTGTGTGTACGGATATGGATGGCCAGGATGAGTAATAAATGCCGCCAGAAGTACCCTTGGCGTTGAGGGGCAGAAGGAGCGACATGCAGCTTGAAGTGTTGCAGTGCTTGCGAGGTTGTGGACCTCGTCCCGGCCGGCCTGGAACCCTTGGACGAAGCCTTGGCGGCTGCGGCCGCCGTGGCAGGCGAGGACGCAGGCACGCTGCATGAAGCTCTATGTCTGTGACCACATCCACATCACTCCCTGTGTCTGCAGAGACAGCACACGGCATGTTTCCTCCTAGTGACACCAGTAGCTCGGACGCGAGGAGGTAACAATGCATTCATTTGGGGCTTGCTCCTAGGCCGGCAGGAGCCTCAGAGAAATCCCCTCTAGCTGTAGCTTCGGCACTCCGTCTTTATGCGCCAGATCCTGGAAGCGGACGGTGCGGAGAGACTTTGTGCGCTGGTGTCGACCTGAGTGAAAGCTGAGGGCATAGAGATGGCATAGAGCGCTCTTTGGACCGAAGTTGGCTGTAATCAGAGGCGCAGTGCATACATGTGGGCCGGAGGCTGAGACCTGTGTTGTGCTTGAACTCTGTGCAGGCCATGTGCCCGCACAGTGCTTGACTTGAGCAGGTTGTGCTTGCAGTTGAGCATGTTGAGCGGGGCATGTGTAAGCTCGGTCATAAGCTTATTCTTAGGCAGACTGCGCAATGTGGTCGATGCTAATTCAAACTTGCTGATTCGCCAAGGGCGGCACGCATACCCTATCCTTCAACTGCATCGCAAATGTTGGCTTCTCAAGTTCGTTGTTGCATGTCAAGACTGTGTCACCATTTGCAGTTCAATGCAGCTCCGGCACAGCCAAGGCGCCAGGTGTCTACTCGCTTCCTTCGGCCAAAGCGCATTCGGTGAAGTTTCCGGAAGTAGCTCGACTTGTGCAGGGGTTGTTTCTTAAGTTGATCACCGTTCAGCCTGTCAGCGACTTTCTGAAGACATGCCACGCTGTTATCCCACAGTGATTTCCAGCTGTAATTATCTGAATGGGCACACCGCGAGGTTATGGGCTTCAGTGGTGCTGCCTCATTCCTGGTCGAGGATTCTGTGTGCACACTCTGTTGTTTCCTGCTAGTCTCTGGTTTCCTACTCGCGAGGCCTAGAGCTTTAGACCTGCAGCAATCCGTCCATGGTGCCGCCAAACTGTGATTCGTACTCATACACCTAGACCTAGATGGTTGGCGGGAGTCAGTGAGTCCGGCTCTGGAGGACACAGCAGAGAGTCCAAACGCAGTGCTTGGGCCTCGGCTGAGTCTTTGGCCGGAGACTTCCAGGAAGAGATCCTGCCAGGTCTGCCCCGATGCTGCAGCAATTTCGGCGAAATGTAGGTGCCGCATTTCAGGCAGCGTGGATGTAGTGAATCGATGAGTTTCGGCCGGCTCCAGCGGTGAACACACCAGCTAATTCATCAAACCCGGTCTTGCTTGCGGTATTCTGTGCTGCGCAGGTGGATCTGGGATTGCTTGGCGCTACTGAAGGAGTCGCATCTATGTTGCCGGTGGCATGTCCCCAGGCCGGCAAAGCGGTCCTGCAGACGGTAGTAGAATAGCGGTGCGAAGTTTCTACAATGATTCTTGTGAGTTGTCTCGTGATAAAGGCCTGCCCTGCAGCTGGCAGCTGCAACTTGGCAAAAGGCATCTGCGAATGCGCCCGGGTCACCCAGAGCCTTGCGGACAGAGACATGCAGAAGACGCAACGGAAGCACCGGACCGCTTTTCTGAGGTTTCCTCCTCTGGGGATCTCCTCCCATGTGAGGATTCCACGCAGGCGCTTGCAGCCCAGAGCCTCGCAGAGCGCCTTGCGTCGTCTGTTTGGAAGGAGCCTGGGCCAGGGCCTGCCCCCACTCAGAAGCCTTGGAGACACCAGGACCCTTGAGCAGACATTCTGCGCTCGTTTTTCCCTCGAACCCTCCAGCCCCGACAAAGGAGCCACGTGTGCCACATCCACCCGAAGGCCACATAGAGGACTTTGCCGAGCCAAGCAGAGTCGAGCAAGTCAGTGCGGACCCGCCGACGTGCGAGGACCCGGAAGCCTTGGATGCTTCCCACTCCCAAACAGTGGTCTTTGTGCTGCTCCTCGCAGCGCTCTTAGTTGGACTGGTCGCAGCTGTGGCTTCAGACGGATGCCACCTTGGAATATTGGGGGACGGTGAGTTCCTGTAGCTTTGTTTGTCTCTGTGCGGCCTTTGTGCCCTTGCTGTTTGACTTCCATTGTTCGGAAACCCCTCAAGCTTTCTTCTGCTTGCCAAGTCTGACAGGCGACAGCAGATCCTACACTTGCAAGTAGGCGCCTTTGAGGCCGTTGTGGCGGCTGGCATCTATTCCTACATGGCGAGAATGAAGACTCCCAGGCCTACTGATGGAGTTTTGGGCTTTTAGGTGCTCAGGGTCCGGGTTTGAGGGTGGCTTTCCCCTGACAAGAACGACAAGCTCGCAAGCAAGTTCCCATGGTCTTGGTTTTGCCCTGCGTGATGTTTCGATGACGCTTGGGAGTGGCGTTCCGGCCCAATGCCAGGAACTTTGCACCTCCAGACATGGAGTTGAGCTCCGACCTTAAAGTTGTCTTTGCATGCCCTGTTCGCTTACGCCATTTTTGGAGTAGTGGCTCCGAATGCAGGAAGGCCACGGTGCCGCCGCATGTCCATTTAACCTTGTCAGGTTCAGAGCCGTTCGCAGTCTTGGATGAGGCTCCTGTCTTGGCATCCCACCTTTGCCAAGTGTGAACCATACTAGAAGCAGCCGGTGCAGTCCAGAACAAATGCTGCTATTCTGATAGCAGGGATTCAGAGCTCAGGAGAGCACTAAGCAAGCCAATGAATCGGAGGAGATGACGGCACACGCTCGATCACCTTTAACCGTGGAAGAGTGTGGCTCTCAGACTCCACATCCAGAAAAGTTTGATTGATTCCTTGGTCGCTTGCCATCTGCTCCCAGTAGCAGGGGTCCCCGGCAACATCTCGGTGGAGCTGGCGCCCTCGCAGCAACCGAGGTCGAAATTTCGCGTAGACGTCCTGTTGGAGATACCAGGATGTACCAGGTTCTTATTGGTTTGTGATGGTCAGAGTCTGGGAGGACCACAAAAGGAAGTCGACAAACAGGTCACACGGTGATCGGGTGTGCGGGGTCCTGGCAGGCAGCGGAGTGAGACAGCCAGGAGCCGCGTGTACAGGATGCGATGACCGCCTGGTTGAAGATCGTTTAATAAATTACAGCATTGTTGATCTGCAGCCTCGGAGAAATGTTTGGAAAAGGTCCTGGAGAATTTGGTTCTGATGTAGTTCTCATCGTGCTTCTGTCCAAACGGACTTTATGCATGGCATGGCATCATGGCATGGTACAGAAGACAGCGATACAATCAAGATAAACATGCAGTTCATGATGATCCATGTGCGTACATACGAAATGGCGGGGTATCGGCATCGGGATGTATCGGGTATGAAAGTTAATGAATTTGATACAATAAATTGATCTAGAACATAGTCGGACCGGCGGGGCAATCCGTATAATGACTGACAACATGATTGTGATTACCGACTTGGAGACGATAATTCATAGAATCTTATGAATATTTAAGTGGTAGTTGATTTGACGCCCTTTGTGGCATAATTTATTTTAAAAATAATTACATATAAAATGTGCCTTTCGCGAATTTTTTGTGTTGATTGTATGATTAAATTATTTTTTCGACGAAAATTAATTATTTATTATTTTATTACTATTATTATTGTTATGAATATTAGTATTATTATTAGGAATGATAGGATTTTGTCTTATTAATGAAATCTTTATTTTCTGAGTTATTTATCTACTATTAATACGAAATATATTTATATTAATTCTTATTTCGATTTTATATGAAACAGATTTGTTTTTTTCGTTAAGTAGAAAAATAATTTTTATCTAATATTTTTAAGGTTTGATTTATTTTTTATTATTAATAATGTGAAAAATATTAGATATGATTTTGAGGTCGTATTTGTTTTTTTCAAAAAATTTGACGAAACAAATTTTAAGAAAATTTGGAAAGGGATTTCTGAATAAAAAATAGCAATATTGTCTTAAAACTTTAATTTAACCTATTTAAGAATATAGAGTAATATAAAATATATTATAGAAATTAATTTCTAAATATTTCGATGAGTAATTAAATAGTATAAATAATAGAGAAAATTAAAAAATATAATAAACCAATATATAGAATATAAATAGAAGAACAGCCACCTCGATTAAGAGAATATTAGACAAATAAATAAACAAAAAATATTATTAATTAGAAAACAATTCGAGAGATACCCAGAGAGAAGAAAAAGAAATAATAAGAAAATACAATTAAGCATAGAAACGGCTGCATTAAATCGACTCATTCATAGTAAACAAAAGCAAATAAATAAATAGAAAAAGACAAACAATAAGAGAAGAAATATAAAAACAAATAGACATCAGAAATCTCCGAACGAATTTCTTTTTAACACGAGAATATTTCCTAAAACTAACCAATACAAATTCTTAAGCTAAAATATCTCCTTGTCTATATAAAGAAATTATACTCGTGAAAATCTTACAAATCGTATGACCACGAACATACACTTAATCCGATAAGATATCCCAAAACGACCAAAATTCTCTAAAATTCTATGACCGAGAACTAAAAGTTCGCCAAACTAAATTTCTAGAAATGTAAAGCCGCGAAACAAACCAGACAAATATATAAGGTTTTCAACAGGAAATATATCAAAAGATCAAGTTACGAGCGAGAGACTAACGACACGTTCAGAATCACGGACACAAATAATACGACACCACTTTATCAAATCTTATTATTTATATATATTTATTTTTTATATTTCAGTATAAATATATATGTAAATATAAAAATGCATAAATATTTCACAGTGATTTTGGATTCTACTTCATATATCAGTTGATTTGCCGCTAGGCTGAATCATCAGATTTCGCTTTCAAGAATAGGTTTCGACCTTTGATTTCAAACAAAAAACCACATCGGCTCGTAAAACACGAGTATATAGCTTCGACTCAAAAATTACTGCCATGTGTAGAGAGCTTTGGCTTCGGAGTTGATTTGGCATTCTTGATGCCTACCTCATAGTCGTTCCAGAAATTATGATCTTGGTTGAAGACATGGTGGACAGACCTACCTCGGACCGCTGACCGCCAAGCTTTTCTCGCGAAGCTGATTGATCGCCTTGGGCGTGTACAGTCTCACGATAGTTATCTCACGCTCTCACACCTCTGATTGACTAGCAAGCAAGGCTTCAGCCGCTGTAAACGAATCGTATCGTGTTCTCACGATGTTGCCAATGCGGCCAAGATCTGCCGAGCATGACAGACATCACCACTCATGTCGCACAAGCAGTACGTTGCGTGTGCAAGCTGGTCTGTCAAGAGTTTGTTTGCAATAACAAAGTAGCCGAGCGTGGCAAGAATTGGTATGAATATCAATAATCCAACAGGGATCGCTGTCTTTCGTAGAATCCAATCGAGCCACCAGAACGACCGTCCACGAAGTGGCTTACAGTTCTGGATCCATGCAGCATTCTGCTCCCCAGCGAAAGCGGCAAAAAGCATCTCATCCACTGTAACCAGAAAGGTCAAGGCCAGGCTGTTCAGAATAAGGTCGGAGACATTCCTGACGGATAGCAGGTACCTAATACCGACGATAAAAATGCATCCTTGCAGAGCGCTGCGAGGCAGGAGGTTGAGCAGGACCGTAGACACTCGATGTTGCGTCGTCAGGCCGACGACCTCCAGCGTCGCTTCCGCTTCGTCCTCAGCATCCTCTGGTAGCTGGTACAACAAGCAGTCTTCAGCATCTTCCTTGGGCAATGAGCTTACGATATTCCACCATACCTTGACTGCTCCACTGCACGACAAAGGCTGTCCGACTGCAATTACGGGTGCAGGCACTTCTGCAAAAACTTGCTAAGATGGCCGTGCTGCTAGAATGTTTCGAAACTCCGTGACGGATGCCAAGCCCCAAAGAAATACTATCAAAAAAAGGAATCCCTGAAAAAGAAGCGAAGTGAGCCCAAAGGTTGGGTCTGAATATGTTTCGCTTGCTGCATAGCGGACAACCTTCTTATTGCGGGTGATTTGGCTCGACTTCTTGCCACAAACGTCCAGCCGCTGCTCCAGAAAAAGGGTCGCCTGCACAGTATAGATTCGCCGACAGAACGTCTGAATTGCTTTCTCGCAAACATCCAGCTGGCCGAGAGAAGCTGTGCTGCTTAGACCTGCAATCTTCATGAACATGGGCACGGACGACGAGATCTCAACAGTCCAAGGAGGGAGTAGCTGCTGGTCATGCAGATTGCCACAAAGGTCACTCTCAGGAATTAAACAGAAATGGGCAAACGTGGTAATTTCTGCATCATAAACGTGGCGAGGTATGGAAGTGTACTTGATGATGCAGTCTTCCTGTTGCACTTCTTGCACAGCACTCTGCATGCAAATCCTGAAGTCCCGGACGTTCGTGAAGTCGTCTAGTGGGAGGTTCACAGGAAGGTGACCCAAACCAGTGAGCGTTAGGCTGTAAGAGCCCCCGCCGCATGTGCAGCACAGCTGCTTGACATGAAAGTCGTCGTCGTCCCACTGGCCTGCACATGCATCGAAGCCATTGTAGCCTGCGCATGCCAGCTCACTCGAGTCAGTGGCACCATTATCCATGTCTACGCACTTCGGCACATTGCAGCTGTAGATTGATCCGTTCAGCTGCTTCCGCAGACGGCTGTTCGGAATGTATCTTGCCCACGATGCCTGCTTCGCTGCATCCACGTAGTTCACAACCACATGTCCATCGCTCGTAATATTTCCGATGGAGGCATCAGACCAGAATCCACGATCCCTGTCGAAGGCCTGTATGTTGTCATTCAGACTGCATTCTGTATGCCTAGGTCCAGCGTATTGCTGCATCGTACGGAAAATGTTCTTGTAGAACTCTGTCATGTTCACATAGCGTCCAGTTGTCGCATGATGAGTGCTGCTGAGGGCCTCTGCCTCCGCAAACGTCCACCTGCCATCCCCATCACGGTCCAGGACAGCGAAGTCTACGCTTAGAGCCACCTCATCCGGTGTGCAGGATATTCGAGTGTCGCCATCACGCTGCCAGCATATACCCGTTGCATCTATCGCATTAGATTGCCCGAACAACTTGGTCTTGATCAGGCTTTGATTCCCTGTGGTTCTTTCAGACAGCAAATACACAACTGAATATTGCAAGAAAAAATTCACTAGTAGCAGAAGGTGCGCCTTGCCCAGTGTGGTCTTTGTAATCAAACGCATTAGAAATGCGTTCTCGTACGCAGATTCAGCAAGCGTCAGAGTCCTGTAGCTGAGGACTTCCCGCGTCGAGGTTCGTAGAAGCAGTCGACTTTTTGACTTTGTCTTGCCTGCACAAATCCAAAGCTTACAAACCGCTGCATGCGTCGTGTGTCTTCCTGAAGCAGAACCTCACCTAGATGTGCATCAGCAACTCAAGTTAATTTGAATTAATTTGACCCTGGCCGTGGCCTTTCGTGCCCACGCCAAATTTGCCAAACAGGCCGACTGGGGATGCCATGCTGGGAGGTTCATGGTTTGGGTGAACCTCACTCGGCCGAGTCGGTTCTACCACAGACTCCACATCGACACAATCCTCGGTCCCGTTGGTCGGGCCACGTGCTGGCGGTTCGTGTGCCACCTTTGCCATGGCTTCTTCGGCTTGAACCCACAGCTGAAGTCAGGCAGTTCTTGTGGTCGCAGCAAGAAGCTGGACCTTTCAAGCACAAACCGGCTGTTTCAATCGTGCTTCTGCACTAACTAGGCAGTACAAGCTTTGCATTGTGATTTCACCTGAGGCTATGCACGAACGAAACCACCTCCTCGTCACTAAGCGAGGAGATGATGCGCTGCGAAGAATCAGCAGCCTCAGCGACTCTCTGAACAAACCTGCAACTGACGATTATATGCTCGTAACACTGTTTCGACAACATTTTTTACTCGGCTGTTGCAGCTCAGGGAAAAGGTCCGCACTGTTGCGAGGGGCATGCCCACGGCCTCCTGATTCTCTTGGCACCCAGGCCGTCGCTTGAACTTACTTTCAGGTCAAAATGAACTTTTGCAGAACTGTCTTCAGTGTGCCACACGTCCTGCAGCCGCGTGGTGTCGAGCTCTGCAGCTGCCTTTGCTCCAGCTCCTTCAGGATTCAGGGAATGATCCTGTTACCTCAAGAATTGTTCAAGAATGCACAGATCCATCCACGCAAAGCCACTAGACCAGAAGTGCAGAGGGCAGCTGGAAATTACCACGGCTCTGCGAAAACTGCTCCAAACAGATCCTCGGATCTCCGGAGCTTTCCATTGCACTCCGCACTTCGTTGCTCGATCTTGCAGCCCCAATACCTTCGCAGAGGATGATTCATCGCAGTCCTATTCTCGATGTTTCAGAGACATGGTCGATGCTATGCTTTTGGATGTTGCGAGTGAAGGACGATGCCTGCCAAAACCCGTGCTTTCCGTTTCAGGCATGAATCTATCGACTGAAGGAAACAGTTGACTGAAAGCGATGATTCCACTGGCATCCCGCAAGCTGCATCTGAGCAAACTTTCTTCCATGCAGCGTGTATCCATGTCGGCGAAATTACTTCATATGATGGTAATGATCATGAATTCATGAACCATGAAGACCAAAAGACGAAGATCCATGCTCCCCAACACATCAACCGAGCGCCCGACCCCCCGATTCATGCAAAGTACCAGTACAAACTGCTAAGGACTGTGCCGCCATGGACGCCTTGCAGAGACTGCCTTGCATCTTTACTACAATCTATCTCCACCCAACTGGATCCAGCTGAAACTTTGGTCACTGTGTCGGGTACTTACACGGACATGGACCTTCTTGCTCGCCTATGCGAACGACAGCGAGGGTTTGATCCGGCTTTCAGCACTCGTCGTCAACTTCAGGATCCCGGATGCTGCTTTAAATGGCGTGAAGCACGCAAATGCTGCACTATGCGGCCAACTGGAGCTGCTCAGGCTCTGACAATGTCTGGGTAGGAAATTGTGCCAGGATTCGTAAAGTTCAAGACTCCAACTGTTCGCCGTTCTGCGAGTATCGGAAGCAGCGGCATGAGGTCATCCAGTATCGTGACCGATGTCTGCACGCTATCGACTTGCTTGAAGCGCGCCTGGGGAATGCATTAAGGCACACACTAAATCTGTATATATATATATGTATGTGTGATTGTTTGTTGATCTAAATTAAATTGCTTCATCCCGGAATGTCCTTCTTCACGAATAAAAACTTACCTTTAACAAAACCAACGCGGAACTTTCGCGAAGGCATATTTACATAACTTTCGCAGAAAAATGAACTTTTAACAAAATCATCGCAAAACTTTCGCGAAGACATATTTAGCTATGCAGTTGTCGTTTCATACAAATTATGCCACAAGGATGTATATATATATAATATACACACACACATACGTGCATGTACATATGGGGGGTTGCCTAAATGTCTTTGCCTGAAGGTGGTCGAAATGGTGTGTTCCTTCGGGCCCCGCCTCATCTCTAAGAGAAAAGTATTGGCTCAACCGTACCATCAACATATGAAATATGATAAAGCGTGGGAAAAGTGCACTAGCGCGGACTAATATGGTAGTCTTCTGCACAGAGTTTAAGAAGGGTCTAGACAGGAACATATTAGGATAGTTGGTAGTCTTACATGACACAGGACTGGGCCAGTAGTGCCAAGCGACGAAGTTGTCGCTAATTCACTAGCGCGG